CTAAGTGTTTGTGTTCGCCTCAGGTCATGATCCCAGGGTCTGGGATGGAGCCCCAAGTCCAGCTCTCTGCTCAGCGGGGAGCCCGCTTCTCCCCCTCCCTCTGCTCACTTCTCTGCTTGTTCTCTCTCTCCGTCAAATAAATAAATAAAATCTTTAAAAATATAAAATAAAAAAATAAACAAGTAAATGTAGAGGGGAAAACATCTACTTATGTGTGTGCATACATGCACATATATATGTTAAATGAGACTAATAATTGTATATAAGTGTATATATATATATGTATGCATGTATGTGTGTATATATATATATGGACAACATATGAACTGGCCTATGCACCTGCAATTTATGGACACTGTATATACATATATTTTCAATCTTCAAAGCATCTTTTGAGATAAATATCTTTGTCATTTTAGAGACATGCAATCTAATACTTAGAATGTTTAAGTGTTTTCCAAAGTTCACACAGTTCTAAGGACCACAGCAAGGACAGCCATAATTTCTTTTGTTGACCATTATTTATAATCCTATTATTACCTTTCTTTTCAATACAACTGAAATTTAGGGAATGAAAGTGGAATGTGATATGTGTTAAAGGTTTGCTTGAATTTAAAAAGGAACAGCGTTAAATTAATGTCACATTAATGATGTACTAGCATTGCTGATAAGAGATGTGGCTACTCAATAATTCAGGCAAAATATCTATTTTAAATAAAGGGGAAGTGAATTCTCAAATTAAAAATAAAAAATGCTCAGTTTCAACACCACCAACACCATTTACCAAATCATTTCAGTGCCCAGAATCTCATGACTTGAGAAAATATGAGAAAACAACATTTCTTAGTGCTAAATTGAGATTTCACACAAGCCACACACACTGAAAGTACTTACATCTCAAGATGGAGTTCATATTTCCACATCTTGCTGGTCTTATTGTTTAATTAATTTAAAAAAGCTCTCCCTCAAACCAATAAAGAAGTTGCCAACATAAATATTAAAATATAATTTGTAAATTTGAATACATTGTTTTTTATAAATACATTGATTTTTTTCATTTCCCAAATTATGCAAATATCCCCCAAAGTGGTCAGTTTGCACGCCAATGCATTTTTCAAATTGAAAAAAAATTAGCTGACCCAATGCAGTAGCCCAAAACACTTGATGGCACCTGCCAAGATTGAGGAAGAAGCAAGTGATTCACCTTGGGAGATATCCTAACGTTTGACTTCTTTCATTAGTTATTGAATACTTAAAACTTCCATATGGTGCAGGTCCCTAAAAGAATTTGTTTATAGGGATTTAGACGGTAAAATTTAGACAGTCATATGATTGTATAATCATGAGGAAAATTCCAATACCTAGAAGTGTGTTTTTTTGTATGATGGATTTATAATTTTTCTACATAATTGATAGGAATTTGCAGGTACTACTGTGTTTTATTCAGTGTGGAGAGTTCCTCCCAGAAGACAGGTTTGACTGAAAGATGGCAGTGAAAAAAAACAAAACCTCCTCTATTTCCAGAGAAATTCAAGAGATGGGAGTGTGTGAATTCTCTGGTAATCTGATCCGTCATTAAACCTCAGTTACCTCCATACACTCACTCATACTGTCTTTTCTCTCTGGCCATGCCAGGCACCCTCTGTCTCCAGATTACAATGTCTGGGCTCCCAAAAGGCATTCTCTGCCATAACAAAAGTACCCAAGTGTCTCAGCCCACTGTGCAGGCCACATTCTCAAGCATGCTTTCCCCTGCAAGAACTTCCTCTCAGGAACTACTCCCATATGTCTAGTATAAAGCACCAATGATAAGTCTTTTATTACTTTACTTAACTATTCTCATTTAGTCTGATTGAGAACTTAAAATTTTACTTTTTTTCCAAATTAAAATAATATCAGAATACATCCTGTCTTCAAGAAATCTTTAAATTATTAATGCTGCAAGTAATCTTCTTGAGTCTGTTCCAAGTTAATACACTATTGGCTATACATATTTACTCTACAGGTAAACAAATACTGAGAGATAAATGAATACATATTTATGTCTTTTTTTTATTGAAATGAAATGGAGAATTATACTGATCACCAGGAAAATAATAGGACCTAAAACTTGCTTGTCTTCTATGAGATATGTAGGGGGGTAATTAGAGGGGGAGACGAACCATGAGAGACGATGGACTCTGAGAAACAAACTGAGGTTCTAGAGGGGAGGGGGTGGGGGGATGGGTTAGCCTGGCGATGGGTATTAAAGAGGGCATGTATTGAATGGAGCACTGGGTGTTATACGCAAACAATGAATCATGGAACACTACACCAAAAACTAATGATGTGATGTATGGTGACTAACATAACATAAAAAATTAAAAATGATACACATTTACACTATTTAAGAAAAATAGGATACAATTTTAGTTAAGTGCTAGAATATTTTTTTTAAAGAAAATCTGCTTTGAATCCATCCAGGAAAACTATACCTGTAGACTTATTTAAGGAATAAAGTTTGGCAACCATTGAAACCAATAAATCAGAACAGAAACTTTAAATTCAAATATCAAACATACCTTTATTACTTTTGCAACTTTTGGTGATTAGTTATGAGTTTTCATAGGGCTAATGAACATCTGTTTTAATAACACTGAGTAATCATAATGGGAATTTTGTTTCCATGTGGTCCATTTTAACAGAAACCAACTTATTGCACTAAGACCTATTATAGCATGATTTTTTTTTTTTTGGAGTGTAATATTAAAGAGGGACTTAATTTGTATTGCTGAATGTCATTTGTAGCATTGCTTTCATAATTTATTTGGCATACATTTATATTCTGGCAACTCTTATTTTTTATGGATAGTTGAGATGTACACAGCATCCTTCCCCCTTTCTAATAACCTTGCTACCTTTCATGAACCTGTATCTTACAAGAAATATGCTTTGCCTTTTTCCACAGGTGAAGCTTATAACCTAACTTAACCAATCAATCCAGTATACCCCTCTATCAAATGAGTTCACTAAAGGTAACTCTCAGTATTGCGAATTCTAGAAATCTGGTTTTCTCTCTTCTTCTCTACCATGTAATGTGTAGGTATGAAGTCTAGAACAGCTATAATCATTTGCTACCAAGCAGAAAGTTAATCTGAGAGGGACAAAGCCAAGAAAATCGCAGGGAAATCCATCTAGGCCCTAATCCTATTTAATGTTAAACCCAGTTTAACTCTTGGCATTGTCACATGAGATAGTGATTTTCTTGTAATCACTTACCAGTTTGAGTGGGGCCTGCACTTACTTTCAGATGAAGTGTATAATGGATAAATTTGTTACCAAGAGTGGGGTTACAAGTAACAGGCCAGAATTCTTTAAAAGTGAGGAAAGTGAGAAAGACCACTCTCTCACATGAGAAGTTGAAAATCTTTCCTTTACAATTTGCAGAATGGTTGGTTAAAGTGGAGTTACTGTAATTTGGGCCTCAGGGCATGTGCTACCAAGACAGCCTTAGGCAACTGAAGGGGGGAAAAAGTAGGATAATGGAGTCTATAGTCTAAAAAGAACAATCTTGCTTTGTCGTCTACTTCTCAAACCAAATAGAAAAGAAACCTTGGCCAAGTGACTCTTCTGTCTTTAGTCTGCAATACAAGTATACTAAATTTAATTTTCAAGGACCCCCATGACTGGAAAAGCTGAATTACCCACAACAAACCAAACAGAAGGCTATCGAAAGCAGAGATGAGAGACACAGTGGGAGAAAACGGAGGAATGGGAAATCTATGGCCTTATTCTAGCATATTTTTCAAGCACTGTCTCCTGAAAAAAGTATAGACACTCGCATTATGGAAATGAAATCAAAATGAAGGTTGAGAAAAAGAGATAAATACTCACCCACTACAGTCCATTCTTTCTATTGGCTTCAATAAAGATATTACCTATATACCTATATATCCACATACACTTTAGTATACACAAATATCCAAAATAGGACTCATACAGATGAATGTTTCCCAATTAAAGATGGAAGCAGCACTATATTTATAACAGTATTTTTGACAGGCCTTTCATAAGACTATCCATCTGATTTTCAAATTACTTAAGGTTAGTGTGTTAAGTGTTTTCTGTGTGTAATTAGCTGACATTCTTTTTATAGATAGAAATCAAGTAAGCATTGTTTTTCAAAATGATTTGCAGGTTAAACAACATTCTTCCAAGATGGTGTGGATACCAAACTTATGACAAGCCTCATTAAAATAATTTTTAATAAACATAGCAAAAAAGACTAAGTCTGATTTCCTTTTACAGTAAATATTTAATTTTTGTTATTTCTAGTTTACAAGTGTTTAAAATGGACAAGATGATTTTACCTCTTCAGTAACACTTTTATATTAATTCATGATATTTTGATTCAATATATGGTAATAAATCTCCACACATTACCCATTAGTATTTTTTTAATGGGGATGTAATATTAACAACCACTACCTATAAAACACATCATTATTTTGGTGCTTTTACAAATCTTTTCTCCAGTTGTAAGTTCTAAAAAAAATAAATAAATTCTGAGAATTAGAGAACACTGAAAACGTAATGAAGTTGAATTCCACCTTTATAATATTTCCATTTTGTCCTAAAAGAGAACATTAAAAAATGTGACATTGCTATACCAGACCACCTTGCTAATGTTATAAAAGATTGGCAGGAGCAAGAAATTGTCACTGATAATGCAGATTTTTTTTAGTTATATCTACAAATCATTAGGAAATCATTGTTCAAAAGTAACAAAACAAAATGTGGTGATCCCTGAACCATTTGATGATTCTTAGTCTATATCATTTTTTTTCCATTCATAATCATCCTCCCCTCAAATGCCTTTAAAAAAAATACATTACACAGTACAATAATAGAAATCAAAGCACAAACTATCTTCAAGAACAGAAAAATCTGTAGCACACAAAGATATCTTATAGTAAAGAGCACACTTCTTTGGGGACAGTCATCAACTAGCTTGTCGTTCATTATGAAGATTTCTCTTTCCTTTTATGGGGAGAGTCTACTCTATTTGAAGTTGCCACACCATTTTCTGTTCCTTTTCTAGAAGACCTCCCTTTAGTCCGTTTCTTCTTCACACTTGGGGCCTGAAGAGCAGTGTCTTCTTCCACCCACCTTTGAAGCTGGACATTAAATAAATTCCATGTTATGTATGCTTGGATGGTGCAACTGGATGACAAAACAGCAATTTTAGCTGCCAACACGTTTACATTTCCAGTAATGGCATCCGGATTCTGATTCTGCCCTCCGGCCAGGTGAAAGCCCACAGTCACTACCGAAACAATTAAAGTCACAAGTCGACCCAAAATAAACACAATTGCCCACAGAGAAAACTCTTTCTGGTACTTTTCATCACTAAAATAAAACAGGTCACAAATGTGGGAAAGTAATTCAACAAAGTAGTGCATCATCAAAAGAACAAGTCCCAGATGATTCAAGTACAAGAGGTAAGCTCCAGCAATGTGAAAGAGGTGAAGACCGATGTAGACAAGTTGACGAGGGATATCTTGCTTTTTGGTTCTCTGGAAATAGAGTTCGGGAAAGGCATGAAACCAGTAAGCCAATTGTGATATGTAGAAAAACTTCATTTGAAATGTCATCATATTATGGGGATGAGCCCTCCATAAGAGAGTTGGGTCTGACAGACAGTTTTCAGAAATTAGAATGAATGTGCCCCAAATACAAGAAACAAGGTAGAATACACTAAACTGGCCAGATTCATTAAATTTGCTTTGTTTCGCTTTGGGGAACTGCATTCGCCTGTTAATTTTATCCAACACATACTCCTGAATTGTGGCGTGAATGATGATTGCCACTAGCATGTAGAAGAAAACCGTGGCCAAATCTTTGATGCCATAATAGTAAAGGAACTTTGATTCCGTGGCTCGTTCTTCTGCTGCAGGAAAGGTAACACTGTGCTGAAGAGTAATAAAAACGATAGATGCTTCAGCTGTTCCCTCGAACATAAGCCCCAGCACGAAGAACATCCCCACACAGGCGACGAGGTCCGCATGATTCTGCAGGATGAATTCGTGACTCAGGACTGGGGGGTTCTTGGTGCTCTTCTTACGAAACGCCATGGTAGCGCTTCCCAGATACTCACCGACGACCCGCAGCTGCCTCCCCCTGGCTGCTCCTCACAGCGCCGCCGCCGCCGCCGCAGCTCCGGGGGCTTCACTTCCCATCCCGGAGCCAGTCCCGGGTCGCCGCGGCCGCCCAGAAAAAAATAAATCAAAGGCAAGGGCCGAGCAGGACTGAGCATGCGCACCAGGGGGACGGCGGAGGCAGGGAAGGAAATCGAGTGCCGCGCCCCTGCCCGGCGCCAGGCTCGGGGTTGCGAGAGTTGATCTTCCACGTTGATCGTCGCCTCTTGAAATCCACTGGCACCGTCAGGATGCTCCTGAATTATTTTTCAGTGGCATCTTCGTCAGTAATCATGACAAAGCAGGATAGAACTCTGGTTATTCTTCATCAGCATGATTATAAAAACAGCATCAAATAATAATGATGATAGAAGCAAACTCTCATAGTGCTTAGCATTTACAGGTGCTGTTCGGAGCACTTTGCTTCTATTTATAAATGTGTCCTTTCTGGAAAACCCAATGAGGTAAATACGGGGTGATAATTTTATTTTTATTTTTTATTTATTTTTTTTACAGATGAGAAACTAAGGTACAGAGAGGTTAAGTAATATGCCCAGGATCACACAGCTGGTAAATGTCAGAACCAAGATTTGAATCGTCTGGATCCAGAGCATGTGCTCTTCACTGTTGTACTGTATTGCCTCATTGTTAATCCTTAACACGTGGAAATATTTCATTACAGCAACAACAAAACATTATTAAAAAAATAGTTGCCGTGTTAGCAATAATAATAATTGTGGCATTAATTGTACTTGTATTTTTAAAGGTTGAGTGGTGGTTAGACGGGGACAACTATTTGTCAGTTCATAGGAAGATATTTTGGCTATAAAGCCCAAAACTGATTTTCCTTACTCTAGCAGATAATATCCTCGTGTTTCATTTTTATGATTGTTGCCTATAAATTTGCTAAAATACGCATTGAAAAACAGCTTTTGTAAATGCTAATGCCTTGCTCTATTCGAATTTCATGTCAGTCTTCAAATTTCTTTTTGAATCCAGAGCAGTTTTCTTGTTTCTTCTGGGTCCCATGTGATCATAATCGTTAGTGATAGTTAAAGTTTGAAGTTTGGAATATACATTTCAAAAGAAAAGTGCTACATGATTTAAAGAATAAAGCACAATTAAATTTAGAATGGCCAATTGCCTTTTATCACTTTCTCTGCGTGCTGTGCACTAACAAAAGATGCAGTTCAACTGGTGTAATTACTTTTAAGACATTGAACAAAATACTCCGATCAACGTGTGCCTGCATTTCCTAGGACAGCCAAACAATTGCATATGGAATTTGTTGTGGACAATGTTCCTGAGTTAGGGAAAGTACTACATATTTTACCATAGTAAGATTTCTCTGTTTGGTTTTCCTAGCTGTTACTCAGCTGTTGGCTCTGACAGCTCAATTAGAGTGCTATTTGGTGTTAACTAAATCAGTGAAGAAGTTACAAATAGGGGTGCAAAAATTAGGGCATCAAGAAATGAAAAAAAATCAAACTTGTTAAAAGTAGTTAGGAGGGGAACAAAGAGAAAAGCAGTGCCTTGTGGGAATTATCAAGAGTTCATTCAGGAAAATACATATCTACGTTTTTGAAACTAATCATTTTAAATAGAGAATTCATCAGTCTTTCTATAGGAATATACAATGGCTGTGATCCTTTTGTGGCATACTAACTAAATATAAAAAACACTTGTGCAATTTCTGAGCTGAACTTCTGTATATATTTGTTTGGCATTATTTTTGACAGGCTTTCCAACTTATGCAAATGTGATAGATGTTGCCCTCAGAAAAAGTCCATATCAAAGTGAAGAGCACAAATGCTTATGCACAGATATGAAATGTTATTTTATTACTAAAAGGGAGAAAGACCATTATGAGTTAGTCTAAAATTGTCCCTTAACTTTAAAAAATCTTCCCACCCCACTCTTTCCTTGGTTTTTAAGTAGAGAAACTTTTTTAGCCATATATCTTTCCTTTCTTTGAGTTTGTAACACCAAATGATATTCTGTAGTTTAAATTGTCAATTTAAGCTTTACATTAAATACAGTCCAAGGGCAGGGTTTGAGTTTTAGATTTCACATTAATATCTTTATAAAACTATAAAAATGTCAGACTTCTGAAATTATTGGAATCTGTAAGGGTATTGTAATATATAACATGATGTTTGTTTCTGGTAGTTTTATTGGCATTTTTATTTGACAAAGAATAAAGTGTATATAACAAAATTTTCAAAAATGTTGGTATCAGTCTATTGGTTATATAATTTCATGTATTTGGAGAGTGGGTATTCCTCCTTTATGCAGAACCCTGTGCATATGGTAGATAATTATTAAATTCAAATGGAGACTTCTGCTTTCAGTCATGAGGGAATAACTGATTGAACTTACACTCCTACTGTAAATAATTGGCAAACTGGACAAATTATATGAAATAACTTGTTTTCATATATTGGAAAACATAAGACCATAATCACTGACAGAAAGCAGACAAGTGAGGTGAGCCCCATAATTGCCCTGATTATCTGCCTGGAAGCATTTTCCAGTCCACTGTGCAGATGTCACCAGCTAGACCCCAAGGCCTTACTTTTACTGTCCACCTGCTTGTACTCACCAACCTATGTCCCACATTTTTCCTTAAGCTCTTCTTTCTACCCTATCTCTTAACTCAGTCAAATGGAAACTGAAACCATCCCTCGAGTGATAGCGAGTGCCCTGACAGGACCTCCAGTCAGCCCAGACCACAGAGACCAGTTTGAGTGTCATCCCCAACTTGTGCCTACACACATGGAGTGATCTCCAGAATGATCAACACCTACCTTTACCTCATTATAATACTAAAATATCCACCCATGGAGAAGCACAAGCCTTATTTACATAACATACAATGTATGTATAGGCATGTTTCCTTAAGGTGCATGTGTGACCTTAGGTCCACCTCGACATCTGAGGACAAGGTTTCCCTATCTAAATATTATTCATCCTAATCCTAAATAAAAGGAACCCATCCACCTTCGCTCAGGGAGTCACAGCTTTGGAAGCCATCCCCTTGATCTCCTTATTTGTTGCAAATAAAAGTTTTCTTTGTGAGTGAACTCAGCCTGGTGCAGTTTCTGACTCACCAAGGAGCAAACACATTGGTTCGGTTACACAGGGAGGGGAAACCTAAGAAGAGCCTGGAAACCTTGCTGAATTGAGGAGAGACAGGAGTTAGGAGATGCTGAAGCCACTGTTATTTGCTAGGTATAATAACTGCAGAGAAAGGTGATTAACATGCTTCAGAAATTTGCAGAAGTGTTCTCTAGACACTGGTTAAAATACATGAGACCAACCAAAGAACGATGGAGGAAATGTAAAAGTTTCCAAGAATCCCGATAGGACTAGGAGACTTTCAAGTTTGGAACAGTTAGAAATTAGAATTCCCTGGGAATACTCGTGAAACTCTACTTTTAGTAGAGAATCAAGAAAAGTAAGTCTAAACTTGACGTAGGGAAAAAGCTAATTCACATTTGTCCACATAAAGTTTTCAAGAAACTTTAAAGGATCAAGGTGCCCTGCGAGGAACTTTACTGTCTGCCAGAAAAATCCAGCCCTCAACAATGTGAAATTCACATTGTCCAGCGTCTAATAAAAATTATGAGGCAAAGGCTGGGTTCAGCTGAAACTATCAGAATGCCTACATGTGGCCTCTCCACATGGTATTGTCATAGGGCAGTGGCTTTAGGCCCTAAGAATGAGTTTTCTTGTGAAACACACAGAAATTTTATGGCCCTTTGTGACCTAGCATTGGAAGTTATGTCCTATCACTTTTCTTGTCAAAGTGGGCACAAAACTTTCAGGCTGAAGATGGGGCAGGTATAAGGGGAGGGTGGGGAGCATAGACATCCCCTCCATAAGAAGTTACCACAGTATTTGTAGGTAATTTTTAGGTAGCCACATTCTTTCCTTTGATGAGAAAAGTTTCCTTTCACATAAAATATACACCATTTCTTCCAGATACAAACAAAAGTCTCACCCGGATAGAGCAACAGTCTCGTTTTATTAGGTAGGAACTTGAAAGCTAAATTAGATCCAGGCACTGAAGGGCTCCCTGGGCTCTTCTCTTTGTTGCATTTATTCCTGACCTGAAGACATGTGAACTAAAGAAAGAAGTTTCTGATTCCCATACATCAGGCATAGGAAAAATGCAATGATCATTTCCATTCAAGAAGTGGGCAAGTGGGATGCACACCGCATTCAATGTTCAAGAGTAATTATGAGATCTATCCCTAAATTCCCTAAATCTTTGACGTGAACCCAGTCTTCCTCCCTGGGAAGTGGTGGAAGATTATATATATTTCCATATATATGCCTGCCCTTCAAAAACATAGATTTCAAGTTGATATTTTTGTTAGTTTGCACATTTTAAAAGATAAAAGACCCTAGAAGCTAAGTAATGTTAATTTCTTCATGTTATTTTTTGTCTTTGTGATGTAATTGCCGATTATACTATTAATTACAGAGTATCAACTATACTATAGTACTTCAAAGAATTATCATCCCATCAACAACTCTTCAGTAGAACCATGAGAGGAATGGAAGGATCAGTGTATAAGTAACCATTACAGAGAATTGCCACATATTTGGGCAAAGTATCTTTTAAAACGTTATATTAATTTTGTAATGAGAAACATTTGATTAAAAAGTAGAAAGCCCCACTATAACTTGGGTACTATATCTTAAATCAATACAAATAATTAGTTCTTTTTATTAGGTATGCAATATAACACTTTGATGTCATTATTTTATAACTTATCACTTACATAAATAGCTTAGCTAAAAGCATCTTTTCAATTACTTATGTCTTTTTGAAATGTAATTTTCCAAAAGAGGTTAACTGATATTGATTGTGAGCTTTGATAACATATAAAGTACATTAGGAACTTTATGATATAGACATTGTGAATGGC